GGTCCAACGGGTGAAAAATAGTTTTAAAAATAAATTACAAATACAGCCTTGAAATTTACTTAAAGTATAAATTATCTTTTATAATTTAAAAAATTATAAATATTTTTTTATTAAAATTTTTTATTTAACAGAATTAATTAAAAAAATAAAATTTATAATTATTCTTCTATGTAATAATAAAATTACTTAAATTATTAATTAAACAAATTCTAATATCATTAAAAATTATTAATTGACTTGATAATTTATTAATAAAATGAACGATTTGTTATGAATTTAAAAATCTCAAAGGATAAAATGTAATTTTCAAAACTAAAAAAAATATTCATATTTTAATCAAATTTTGAGAGATGTATTTATAACTTCAGCAATGATAGGGACCCCCTTTGTGGAGGATCCCCACAACCCCCTTTGTGATCCACACCATTCATGATGTGGACTCCACACATACATGAGTGAACCCCACACATCATGAATAGTGTAGATTAGTGAGGAGGTTGTGGGGGTCCTCCACAAAAGGGGGTCTAACTCATTTTTCTTATAACTTATCTTAAAACCGCACCGTTTTGGATTAAAAATTCCAAGAAAACAAAGCAAAAATATCAACCACAGAAGATCTAACACTTGTCTTTTTGTTCTCTTTTCTCTCTCTGTCCCTTGTCTTTTCTCTCTCACCTCCATTGTGCAACACCGCCGCCACCACTGAAGTGTTGTTGGGATTTGAACCACGCCGTGGAATCAGTTATTTTGAAAAGTAGAATAAAATTTTGTTTTTTTTGATTTTTTTTAAAAAAAAATATGTAAAGAAAAGTTGAGAAGTAATATGACTAAAAAAAAAGTTAATATTTGGTTGTTAATATGAGTAAGGAGAAATATCTTTGGATTAATAATCCCTTCATGGGTAAGATCACTAATCCCATGGTTGGGTTAGAATTAAAAATTCAATGAAAGGATTAGTAAATTTTTAAATAATTTTAAAGTAAAATATATATTTTTTAGAATAAAAATAATAATTATAATATTAAAAAATACTTAAAAATTAAAAAATATTATTTTATATATTAATATTATCTGTAGAATTACAAATCTGGTAGTGTATAACAAACACTCATTATCCTACATCTCTAACTTAATGGCCACGTTTGTTTGGAAGATTAGGTTAGATGAAATTGTTAGTGAGAGGATAGTTAATGAAGAGATTGTTAATATAGAGATTGTTAGTAAGGGAATTAAGTAAAAATGTAATTGTTTTGATGATAGTGGGAGTAATGATTAGTAATAAGATTGTTAAATTATTTTTATATAAAATTTTTAAAAAAATTCTATATTAAAAAAGATATAATTTTTTTTTTACAAATAAAAGGTTGCACTTGGGTCAAAAAAAAATATAAATAATAAATAATAAAATAGCACTTAATTCCTTCACTATTTTTTCAAACACGTACCTTCTTCAACTTTGTTAATCCGATTGTATAGGGGGATTGTTAATCTGGTTAGACTAATAATCTACTCATAAATTTTTCTAACCAAACATACTTTCATAAGTCTAACCTCACTATCACTCCAATCCTATCAATCATGGGGGATAACAAACATGGCCAATTCCATAGCATTAGTCGGTGTGTTTGGTTTGAATTTTTTAGATTAAATTTTTTGAAAACTAAATTTTTTGGTTTTCGTATTTTTTGTTTTTAGTGAATATTTTTAACATTTTAAACATTCTTTTTACTTTTTTAGATGCACCTTACTTAGATGTATCTAAAAAGTAAAAAATTTGTGAAAAAATATTTTAAAAAATTAATAAATACATAAAAGTACAAAAAAAATGTACTTAATTTTCGTTTTTTTTTTTTGTGTTTTTAGTATTTGGTGAATTTTTAAAAGGTTTTTTCACAAATTTTTTACTTTTTAAGTATAATTATGTTAGGCATGTCTAAAAAGTAAAAAAAAAATTCTTAAAATATTAAAAAAATTTAGTAAAAACAAATAAACACGAAAAATAAGAAAGTAGAATTTTCTAAAAACTGTTTTTGGAAAAATGGAACCAAGCTTAGAGATATAATTTCTTTACTCAATCCCATAGTACTCTTAATCCCCTCCATCTTTTGGAACCAAACAAACATGACCTAAGCATCTTGAGAAATATGAATCATAAAAAATAAAATTAATAAAACATACAAATATACGAGGTTTGACAACATGCCTACGTTCTCGAAAGCCATACCAATTTACTATATTAATTATATAATTACAGTCGCTCTTTCTTATTTTTTCACTCACTAAAAACTGCAACAATCTCTCTTTTTTTCTCTAACTCTAAAACATGTACAATGTTACATTGGCTTCGTTTGGGAAGTAGCTATTTTAGAGGCTTTTTGGCTTTTTAGCTATTTTAGTAGGCTATTTTAGTTTTTGTGTTTGGGAAGATGAGATGGATTTTTATTTGAGTTGTTGTATTGAAAAATGTGTTGAAATGATGTTTGAAGATAAAATGACAAATTTGTCCTTAAGATTATAATTTTTTAAATTGATATAAAGGGGTGAAATTGCAATTTTCCAATTGATTTTACAATCTATCAACTGACAGTGTAGCCTGCAGTCTAATTTTTTTTTTTTTTTTTTTTTTTTGAATTTTGCACCTCCGCCTACTGTTCACACTTTTTGACTTATACCCTAAATGAGGCTATAATAGCCTTAACCTGTGTTTCCCAAACAGCGCCATTATACAGGGTGTGTCGCAGGGATCGTCCCCTGTTCTCGAGTTTTCTACTAAAAATTGTCTGCATACCCAAGATTAAAGCCCATGGCCACCTCTCCTCTCTCTACCTTCCTCCTCACTTCTCTCTCTAGGGTTTCTCTTTCTTTATAAACCCTTATATGAAATTCTCTATTTTATTTTAAAATTACACCCGGTTTGATTTTCAGTTTTCAAAAACAGTTTTCAAAATTTTTAATTTGTATTTTTATATTTTCAATGATTTTCAAAAATATTTTAATCAATTTTTTTTTTATTTTTAAATTTACTTAATCTTAATATACTTAAAAAGTAAAAAAAAAAAATTGTACAAAATTTAAAAAAGAATTCATTGCATACAACAAAATAAAAATGTATTAAATTTTGGGGTATTTTTTTTAAGATCCCTGATATTAAGATTTTATAGTATAAAGGATATCAAATATTTTCATGATGTCTAAGGTCCCTCAACATCAATTCAGAAAAATTTCAGTCCCAGAGAAATTCTCTAGATTCAAACCAGAGAAAATTGAAATTTCTCTGAGTACCAAAGAAATCCAGAGAAAATTTGTGTAGCTCTCCATTGAAGTACCCAACTGCTATAACATAATTATGACAATTCAAAGCAACAATTCTATTGAATCCAATGCATCAAGACCCAAAATAACTATTGCCTTGTATAGTTTGAATACAAAAAAGTCTTCTACTTTGATTAATACTTTTGAAGCACTGAATTATCAGTTAAAATCAGTCAAAATGAACCCAGAGAAATTTGAATTTTCTCTGGGTTGAACCCAGAGAAATTCTTGGGGCCTCCGCTCATAAGTTGTTGCCTTCGCTTAGCCTTCTCTTGCACAGTCAAGGACTGATCGAACTCAATCGCTCGAATCACTGCAATCAGATCCCCGGAGGATTCAGATCCAGCGGCCGGCTTGTCGATGAGATTAGGATCGGCGATGACGGAGCAATCGGGGCACTCCCACTGGATAGTATTGGCTAGGGTTTGAGGGGGAGTGGAAAGACAAGTGACGTGCCAAGGTGTGACGCATGTCTTGCAGGTGATGGTCTCGTCCTCCGCCGATTTCTTCTTGTAGATCATGCAAATGTCGTCTCTGTTGCAGGGGAGGTTGCTAGAGTGCGCCATTGGAGTGAAGTTCAGTTTTACCTCAAACACAAAAATTCAACAACAAAAATTCAAAAATTCTCTGGAGATAGTTTCTTGAACTTTGCAACGAGTTCTAGAAATCCAAACAGAGTCATAGCACCTTCTTTGGTGATTTCAGCGAAGCACGATTCGGAGATTCTCGAAGATGCAGAGAAGACGTGGTCGCAGAGGATTCTCTCCCCGTAGAAGACTGTCTTCGCGGCGATCTTCATGGCGTGGAGCCAGCTTTTGATCTTGACCTCAATCAACTCCCAATCCAGTTTCTGAAGCTATACGAGCCTGTGTTGCCCTTAAAGGGGCTTGCATGTGGTTATGGTTGTGGTTGTAGTTAAAAGGTAGCAGCAGAGGAGAGTAGGAGAGACAAAGAGTCAAATTTCTCTGATATATGTTTAGGGACCTTACACATCAAAAAATAATTTTGTAGATCTCTTTCATTACTAAAAATGGGAGAGGGATCTTGGACTAATTTTTCCTTAAATTTTTGTATTTTCTATATTTGATGAATTTCGTAAATTTTTTACAATTATTATAGTTTTTATGCGTATTTTGATTCGTTGTATGTAAAACACAAAAAAGTTGATTAAAATATTAATAAAAATCACTAAAAACAGAAGAAAAAAAAATACAAAAAAAAAAAAAAATCAATTTTCTGAAAAATGAATTCAATTTTTCTGGAACCAAACTATTTCTTAGTGAGTTAACACTTGCATACCAGAAAATTTTGAAGATTAAAAAAATAATAATAAATTAAAAAGTCAGCCCCTTCCCTAATTGCAAACCTGCACACGTGGGTGTTAATATAATATCAAAATCCTTCAATTTCTCTTCAAAAAAAAACCCAAATTCCCTCTCTATTTTCCTACTTGTTTTAAATGACGATTGAAATTGTTTTGGGCTGATGAAAATCGAGTTCAATGGAATTGAGGTGGTCATGTCATATAGATGAAGAGGAGTGGGATAAGGAGAAGAGAAAAGATGGTAGTCTGTTAGAAGCAATAAAGTTTTTGATGTTGTTTTATGATATTTTAACTCAAATGTTTAACATTTGATTTACAGCTATCAATTTAAAGAAGATGAAGCTTTGCCATCAAGAAAAATAAATACTGCAAGTTTCTAATTTTTTGTAGTCTTGTATATCCCTCAAATAGGTTATTTTGAACATTGCTACAATAAAATTTACTAAAATTTAACCACTAATATTTATTGAAAACAAAAACAGTGGCAACAAAGAATAACAAAACAAGCCTTACACTGCACTACTATAGTTAAGCAAGTAGACAACACAAGTGTTCCACCACATTCTTATTTTATTATCTTCAGAACTAGGAACTCATTGTTGAAGTAGTGCTCTTACTCTGATCAGAGCTTGAAGGATTGCCCCGTGCTTGTGAAATCTGATCAGACTCTGTGAAGAAAACAATATGTTCCTGGTTGTCGACGAACGCTTGAAGAGATCGTGGAATCGGAGGTGGATTCACATCTAGGACTCCTTCGAGGATCTGAACTATCTGACCCATTGTCGGCCTATGATTTTCATCATCCTGGATGCACCAAGCAGCGACTCTACAAATCTTCTTTAGCTCTTCACTGTCAGCATTTCGGCCCAACTTTGGGTCCAATAGGTCAAGTATATCGCCTCCCTCTATGACTACACTCGCAGCCCATGTTGGGAAGAATCTTACTTTCCCGTCTTGAAGTTGCTCGGAGTTTCTCCTTCCTGATACGAGTTCAAAGAGCATCATACCGTAGCTGTAGACATCGGCTTTGGCTGTTATGGCTACCCCTGAAATCCACTCTGGTGCAAGATAGCCTCGTGTCCCTCTCATGGTTGTTAGAACCCTGCTGAATTCACGTCCCATGAGCTTTGCCAGACCGAAATCCGCTACTTTGGGACAGAACTCGGCGTCTAAGAGTATGTTTTCGGGCTTTATGTCGCAATGTATGATGCAATCCCGGCACTTTTCATGAAGATAAGCCAACCCCCGGGCTGTCCCAAGTGCAATTTGGTACCGAGTTTGCCAATCAAAAATCTTTGACTCCTTTTCGTTGAAAAGATGGGCATCCAAGGAACTGTTTTGCATGTAATCATACACCAACAACCTCTTACTACCTTCAGAGCAAAACCCACGAAGCCGAACAAGGTTGACGTGTTGGATGGTTCCAATTGTGCTGACTTCTGTTCGGAATTGCTTCTCTCCTTGGCTAATGCTTTGAAGTTTTTTCACCGCTATGACACTTGAATCTGGCAACGTCCCTTTGAAAACGGAACCAAATCCTCCTCCCCCCAATTTCTCAGAGAAATTTTTTGTTGCGTTTTGCAAATCTCTGTATGCAAACGCAACCAACGAACCCTCTACTGCTTTTGTTTTTGCAAAAACAAATCTCCTTTGCCGTTTCCATACAAAAGCAAAAACAAGGCCCACGAGCAATGCTCCAACTGAACCCGCAACTGCGCCAATGATGGCCCTCTTCTTGTTTTTCGCTACTGGAAACTCAGAAGCAGCAAGCCTGAGATAAAGAGTTTTTCCACTACCATCGTTTCCAGAGAGTTGTTGCAGATTCAAGAGGTTCACAGTCCAAATTGAACATCCATCGCTTCCATAAGCATAAGCAGTGCAAGAACAGTTATTCAAGCACGCAGATTCACATTCCACATTGCTTCCAACAGACAGAGACTGAGGATATTCAGGCAATCTCATGTTTGAATATTCCCAAAACCTATCTCTCTGTCCGTTCACCACGCTCGTATTCCCACACTGCTGTAATGGAGTATTCCTCACACACCCAGCAGAATAATCACTCAGATTCCAATCAGTCGCATTCGATTCACGAAACCCTTGCAAACAATTACAGAATGGAAGAGTATTCTCATTGCAGGTCCCAAATGCCCCGCAATAAGCGTAAACCTCACATTGCTGTCTCGGCTGAGCCCAAAACAAGTTCCATTCCTTGGTTCCTTCCAACCAAGTGAGCATCTTGACTTGCCCCGAAACATCCATAAGAAACCTCGAAATAATCGCAGGATTATACAGAGAATATGTGAAGTAACTCTCATTCTCGTTGTCTACATAGCTGAAATTGAAGATATAATTGGCCCTCATTTCAGGTATTAAGCTGAAAATCTTACCATTCCAAGGCCCACTAGTCCAATACCTCTCAGACCCATTCCACACAATCAAATACTGGCTGTTATTCGCGTCAAGATGCATAGCATACGGTCCCGGTGATGGGTCTTCTATGTTCTTCCATGAAGTGAGTTGTTGCTGTGTGTTTGTGATCTTGTTATATGCAATCTTGATTTACAGCTATCAATTTAAAAAAGATGAAGCTTTGTCATCAAGAAAAATAAATACTGCAAGTCTCCAATTTTTTCTAGTCTTGTATGTCTCTCAAAGAGGTTATTTTACACATTGCTACAATAAATTTACTAAAATTTAACCACTAATATTTATAGACAACAAAAACAGTGGAAACAGAGAATAACAAAACAAGCCTTACACTACTAAACTTAAGCAAGTAGACAACACAAGTGTTTCACCACATTCTTATTATTGTCTTCAGAACTAGGACCTCATTGTTGAAGTAGTGCTCTTACTCTGATCAGAGCTTGAGGGATTGCTCAGTGCTTGTGAACTCTCATCAGACTCTGTGAAGAAAACAATATGTTCCTGGTTGTCAACAAATGCTTGAAGAGATCGTGGAATCGGAGGTGGATTCACATCCAGAACCCCTTCGAGGATCTGAACTATCTGACCCATTGTCGGCCTATGATTTTCATTGTCTTGGATGCACCAAGCAGCGACTCTACAAATCTTCTTTAGCTCTTCACTGTCAGCATTTCGGCCCAACTTTGGGTCCAATAGGTCAAGTATATCGCCTCCCTCTATGACTACACTCGCAGCCCATGTTGGGAAGAATCTTACTTTCCCGTCTTGAGATTGCTCGGAGTTTCTCCTTCCTGATACAAGTTCAAAGAGCATCATACCGTAGCTGTAAACATCGGCTTTGGCTGTTATGGCGACCCCTGAAATCCACTCTGGTGCAAGATAGCCTCGTGTCCCTCTCATGGTTGTCAGAACCCTGCTGAATTCACGTCCCATGAGCTTTGCCAGACCGAAATCCGCTACTTTGGGACAGAACTCGGCGTCTAAGAGTATGTTTTCGGGCTTTATGTCGCAATGTATGATGCAATCCCGGCACTTTTCATGCTTATCGGCATCTGATTCTGAAATTGATTTGATTTATGTGTTATGTGGAATTTATAGAATTTTACGGTAGATTTAATTGAAATTCGATTTGGAACGATTAAATTAGAATAATTAATGTCAATGTGATACCCTAAGTCAATCTTAATTAAGCCACGTTAATTAAGCCTATCTAAGGCTATTTAGACCCCTTTATTTTACTTTACACCCTCATTCCCTACTCCTTGAGCTCAAAAACGTATGAGAGAAGGAGGGACCAAGAGTGAGAGAGAGTTGAGGTCAACAAGAATTGTTGGAATTGGAAAGAATTAGCTTGGAATTAGTGTGCTCATCATCTAGATCTTATTTAAAAGGTTGAGGTATGAATTCAACACTTAGATTATATAATTATGATGTTTAGAACATGAATTCATGAAGATTATGTTAGGTTAAGCAAGACTTGAGTCAAATAAGATGGAAGAAGGACCATAACATACATGTATGTTTATTCCTTTACAAATTGAGCGTGATTTTCAAGAATTTCCTCATGCATGTCTTGAATTCACTTTGATTTTGGGAAATTATCAAGTTTTATGGCATTTGATCATGTTTTGAGAAGCTCAAGATCAAGAAAATTCATGCATGTTATGTTCATGAAACATTCATAAAGTTTAAGTTGAATTTTTGAACAATTGGCATGCTTTTGGGCCTTGATTTCATGAAATGATCTTCAAAGCAAGATGTTATGAGTTTCTAAGTGTTTTCCAAAATTTTGGGCTAAGAGGATGAGTTTTGAAGTGTTTAGTTTGAGTTTGAAGCTTAGAGATCAAATCTAGAAATTCCAGAATTTGAATCTATGCTCGAGCGTAGGAGTTCACGCTCGAGCGAAGCACTCTGAATGTGTGCACTTCCGCTCAAGCGACATGATACCCACTCGAGCGTAAAACGTATGTATCCAGAAGTTCATATGTTTTGCAGTACGCTCGAGTGACAGAAGTCACGCTCGAGCGAGGGCCTAAGTCTCACGCTCGAGCGGAGATCGAGCGTCCATCGAGCATAAAAAATAAGCAACCAGTACTTTTTCAGAGTTTACAATCTGCTCGAGCTAAGGAAGTCTTGCTCGAGCGAACCCTCACTTTTTGCATGTCCACTCAAGCGAGGAAAGCCACGCTCGAGCGTGGACCCTATTTTCAGCAAGTTTTGAAAAAAGTGTTTCAAATACATTTTTGCATCCTCATTCCATTCTAGGCATTCTTAGGCCAAGATTAAGGCATAATAAGGAAGATCAATGAAGAGACACACTAAGAATAAGAATGTAATGGGTTAGATGTTTTCCAACGTGTGTTTCAGAAGTGTATTTGTTATGTGTTAATGTAGGTCACGTGCTGTATACCGTTTGATTAGCCTGCTCTGTTTATCTGCATCCGAAGCCAACTGTGAGTAATAACTTAGTAAAGCTATGTTCAACTTTATTTACTTTCTGTATGATGAATTAAGATCTATTTTCTGAAATGATATGTTCTGTACAATGAATGACTGTCTAATTTCTGGCAATGTATTCGTGGTATCCTTAGCATCATGTGATATCTGTTAGCTGTTACTTGGTATCGGAGGTTCCATCATGGAACTTAATATGTTTGCAATCTGTTACCCGTACCGGAGGCTCCATCATGGGGCTCAGCATGTATATTCTCTATTACTCGGATCTAAAGGTTCCTTTATGGAACTGGCTATTCATAACCACCATATATTCTGCATCTGTTCTGTTAGCGCTAATGAATGTACCACGTATGATTAAGCATGAACTTTGATTTCTGTATATGATCTGAACAAGAATATGAATATGAATCTGTTATGAATCTGAATTATGATTTCTAAATCTGTATGGACACCATTCTTTAAAACCCTTTGCTTCGTTATTATTCATTAGGCTCCAACTCACTATTTATATTATGTATGTAGGTGAGCAAGCACGTGACCAGGCCCAAAGTTGACGGCCTATGTTTCAGTTTTTGTCAGCCAACCTTTGTGCCTCCCGAGGAGGTTCCGAGTGGAAACAAGTTTAGTGGTTGTTTTTGCGGTGTACTAGACTTTGCTCTTTTTAAGTGCGCGCAAGATTTTTGTTTATATGTTCATGGAGTGATGTGTAAATACTATATCTTTTTACTTCGCTCACAAGTTTTTTTTTAAAGTTTTAAATTATTTGTCTATCTGTCTCATGTATGTCATCACAGCTTATTGGACTACACATATTTTATATATTTACTTCCGCAGGCCCTAACTATACGTTATTCTGTTAAGAGGCCTTTGGTAATCCAAGGATTACTGGCCGGCTACGACGCTAAACCTATAGAGGCGGGTTTGGGTCGTGACATTGTGTATGAAGAAAAATCAAGAACTTGAAGAGAAAAATTTCTGTGTGCTCCAAAATTTTGAATATATTGTATTCTGCTCTTTCACTTTCAAATCTAAGTGTAGCCTTTGTTCTTACACTTTCATATCTACTCTTTGTGAGAGAATTATTGTAAAAGAGGGTTTAAGTACCACTTATTTTTATTCATCATTTTTGTGAGAGATTTTGTAAGGGCAATGCATTTATTGTTGAGTGAGACTCAATAGATAAGAGTAAGTCCCGTGCCAAATTCACAAGCTTGGTGATGTATTTATTCAATTGATAGTAAAGAAATTCTCAAGGAGGTTTTTTGGGGAGTGGACGTAGGCCTAGCGTGCCGAACCACTATAAATCTCAATATTTGATTTTCTCTCCCTATCTCTCTTACTTTTATTTTGATAATTATTTTTTTTTGGTTAAAATTCTGAATATTGTGTTAATTTTAATATTGTAAAATTTTTAATAACCCAATTCACCCCCCTTTTGGGTTACCTACCTGGGATAACAATTGGTATCAGAGCCTAGACTCTAGTTTGTGTGACTTAACCATCTTAAAGTAGATCATGGTAACCCCTAATTATTCCTTACCTGAGGGACAAGCATCCAATAGGCCACCACTATTTAGCGGCACAAATTTTAGCTATTAAAAAACTAGGATGACCATACATGTTCAATCTAATGATTATGAATGCTGAAAAATTATTTGCAATGGTCCAAAAATTCCTACCAAAACCGTAGATGGACTTAGGGTACCAAAACCTAAAGATGAGTGGAATGAATCAGATACTAGAATGGCCCAAATTAATATCAAAGTCACAAACATGTTGTACTGCGCCTTAGATGCCAACGAGTTCAACAGAATTTTCACATGTAAAACCGCAAAAGAAATTTGGGACAAGCTTATAGTGACTCATGAGGGAACCGAACAAGTTAAAGAATCTAAAGTCAGTTTGTTAGTCCATAATTATGAACTCTTTAAAATGAAGCCTGATGAGACTATTCCTCAAATGTTTACTCGCTTTATTGATATTATTAATGGTTTAATTTCTCTTGGAAAAATATATACTAATGTTGAAATTATAAGAAAAGTGCTTAGGTCATTGCCAAACAATTGGGAGACAAAAGTCATTGCCATTACTGAAGCCAAGGATTTATCAAAGCTAAGTCTAGATGAGTTAATGGGATCTCTCTTAACTCATGAGCTCATAATGCAAGAAGGAAAGGAAGAGGAGGACAAGAATAAGAAGAAGAAGAAAGAAATAGCCTTCAAATCCACCTCGAAACATCAAGAGGAAGATGATACAGATGGTGATGAAGAAATGACATTCATCACTAGAAAGTTCAAAAGGTTTGTAAAAAAGAAACAAGGCGTGCAAAAAAATTTTAGAAAAGATTTCAATAATAGGGATTTTCAAATGAGAGAAAATCACAAAAAATTTGAAGTTACCTGCTACAAATGCAACAAACCTGGACACTACAAATCAGAATGTCCAGAACTTAAGAAACAATTCAAGAAAGACAAGAAAAAAGCCACGATTGCGACATGGGGAGAAGATAGCGATGAAAGCGACTCAGAAACCGAAGTTTGCAAAAATGAGGTTGCTAACCTATACTTAATGGCACTTGGAAACGAAGATGAAGTAAATGATGAATCTTTTACGTTTAATGAATTACAATCAGCTTTTGATGAGTTACATGCTGAATTTAAGAAACTTTGTTTGAAAAGTAATTGTCAAAAGAAAGTGATTTTAAGTTTATCAAAAGAAAATGAATTCTTAATTTCCAAGATAAATACTTTAAAAAACGAAGCCATAAAAATGAAAAATGAAGATGAGATTTTAATTCGAAAAGAGTCTTCAACTTCTGAGAAAAGATTAGTTGTTTTACAAGAAGAAAATGAGTTTTTTGAAAAGGAGCAAATTATTTTGAAAGAAAATATTAAAGACTTGAAAAGTACTCTTTCAAAATTCACTTAAGATAGAGAGACTTTAGATAAAAATTTTAAAAATTAAAATCGTACTTTTGGTAGAGCCGGGATTGGATATAAACCTTTTTCCAAAAGTAAAAACTGTCAAAAATGGTTTTATGCATGCATCCTTTAGTCACTCTCATCTCACATGCCATTTTTGTGGTACAAAAGGTCATATTTCACCTTCATGTCCTGTTAAAAGAAATCCTTTTGCTAAAATAAAAAAGATGTGGATTGCTAAAGACATTTCAAGAATGTCAAATTCTAACTTTTATGGACCCAAGAAAATATGGGTACTAATAGAAAAATCAAATTTTTGTAGGTATGTTTCAAGATAAAATCTAGTAACGATAGATGGTATCTCGACAGTGCATGTTCGAGACACATGACGGGAAATAAAACTATATTCGCCACTCTCTAACCAAAGGATGGTGGATATGTGACTTTTGGGGACAATAGCAAGGGAAAAATCATTGGTGTAAGTAGTATTGGTAAAAATCCTTCTCCTATTATTGAAAATGTTTTACTTGTTGAAGGTTTAAAGCATAACTTGCTTAGCATTAGTCAACTATGTGATAAAAGCTATAGAGTTATTTTTTAGAAAACTCATTGTACTATTGAGAACACCCATGAAAACAAAAACTTATTTGTAGGTTATAGACATAAGAATGTATATGTGT